CAGGGATGTGCGTCAACACCTCTTCGTTTTGTATGGCACCGGGCACCCATACTTCGTCTCTGACAATATCCGCGGCGCCTTCATTCGGTCGGATCAAAAACACTTACTTGAGACGTCATTGCCATGGCATAGCCCTGGGCATACGCCTTTGCAAATGCCTCTCTGGCGGCATCCTCTTTAACTGCAACCGTAGGTTCTTCAAAAGCTTAAAAAGAAATCAAGGACCTAGAGCATTACATATAATTCAAATTTAGTCTTAAAATTTTGACCCGATGTGGTTCAAAGTTTTGGCCATCATTTAACACCTAGAAGTTAAAATCCGTACTTTCAACCCCCAACCAGTTCTTTTACTGCACTAATAACTTTGATGAATATTCAGTCCGTTTGAATCCATCTCAAGCAAATTTTGGTACAGCTCTATCCTTTGCAGTTATTTCCATTCCTGTAAAACAAATATTTAATATCTTGTCTGTGATCGTATCATCTTCTTCGGCGACATCCTTTTACTCAGTGGTTTTAGATGAGAATTCGGGTGATTTTTATGTCACAAATCAGAACACGGACAACGCCGTTTCCTGTAACATTCGAAGAACAAAAAAAAATCCAGCACCGCGTTCAATTTTTACATCTACGTGATCAAATGCGTTTAAAACCATTTTCAGGATGCGGAAGAAAGCAAAACCGCGAATTAAATGAAAATACACCCAGTAGCAAAAATGTGTTCACTTCTAACTAAAATTAATGATTTATTTTAGTATGCTAGTATTTACAGATTTTAACTCACGCTTTTTTGCGCTCGACTCCTGGACAAAAAAATCAATTATTGTTGCTTCCTCCATGCCTGCGCCTAAAGATAAAATAAGAAAAAATCCATTAAAAACTGTATTAACATATAAGATTAACATGACTTTTAAGGAGGAAGAATTGATACTTCTTCTTACTCCCGAAAAACATGAGCATGTCTGACTTTTCAAATAAACATCCATCCCCAATTAATGCGTCTGAAACGAAACTATGATCCTAAAGGGCAGCCAACATTCAATTTCAAATAACACATTCTAATTACAAGGTAATCCACAATACTGTTTGAGTCAAAATTTGTTCATAAGAGTCAAGAAAAATTATCTAGAACAGGAATTTGATATCATTAGTTGCAGTTACCTCCCAAGAGATTGGGGGGATCAAATGTTTCTGTTCTTGCAATGGTCAAGAATTGGAGAAAACTGCTCCGCCCCTTTTAGCACATGTATGCACAGGACTTTTTAAGCTAAGATGTCCTCCAGAGGGGTTTACATTTATGCCTTAACTCTCATAGATTTAACACTGATATATATACTTAATTTATCCTATTATACTTTTTAAATCTTAATTAAGTGTACTTATCCCTGTCTTTTAAGAACTGTGTACTCATCAGTTAAGTTACAGCGACCGTTGCATTACATTATTTCCCATTTTTTTAAAGCTTGGCGCTATTCGTCGGTAGGGAAGTGGTCCAGTTACACGATCAAACTGAGCCATCAAATTGAAGCTCTGATTGGCGGAAAAAGACCTGAAGTCAGGATGCGACCAATGAGAGGCCCAATTTGATGGCTCAATTTGATCGTGTAACTAAGCACCGCACCGACAAATATGCACTTCTAGTTAGTCTTACCTCGCTTTCAATAATTATTAAAGTTTCCATCGTTGGATGTGAAGTGATGCTGTGAAATTTGTTGCTCTTTTTAAATTGTCTTAATTTCAAGTTTTTTCTATAACACTCGCATATGTTTTGTATTATCTTGTTTAATATATATATTTTATTTTATTTTTTTTCAATAAAAAGAACGTAACAAATCATTCTCTGCTTTCTCTTTACATCTCAAAACCTCTTGGAAGCAAGCTTTGCCACAACTTGATCAAATTTTATTGCGTTGAAAGTCTTTCTTATGAGAATTTGAAAGGAAATTAGATGAAACCGGGATGGGTTTTCATTCAATGAGAGACCCTCAGTAATCAGAAAAAATCAATAGGTCAAGATACTACTATCAACACATCCTCCAAATTGACAATTCCAGTCATCCTAAATTACATTCAATCTGAATCTGTGGCGAGGCGTGAGTGATGTACTATCGATTTTCCGTCATTTGAAGCTGTAGTAAAGAATCCATTGTTACGGTGTTCGTTGCAAACACCCTGTTTATCGATACTTTCCCTAGGTTTTAACGGTAGATAAATCGATACATCATAAAGCACCCCACGCCACCAATCTGGATCGATGTATCGGAAAGAAACCACGTTTTCGATGAATGAGGTGTGTATGCTTGTTTGTTAAAAAAAAAAAAAAAAAAATGTTGCATTCTTCTTTTTTTTATCTTACTCTTCAATAGCTTACAGTAACATTGATCTGACAATATGCACCCTTTATATTTTGCATTAACTAAAATGGTATGTGCAAAAGGATTTTGGATTTAAGTTTTAAGGATCGATTTCCAAATATCACTGCTTTTACGAATTCTAAACTATCGAATACACCTGATTCAATGGCTAAGTGGAAATTAAATCAGGCTGATTGGTCTAAATGTTGATCAATATGCAGAACCGGGACTATATTCCCTGAAAATTCAGATGAAAAACTCTTAAAATTTAAAAATATAATTTGTCGTGCTGCGACCATGTCTAATTCTCCGTTGAAAATTGGGGAAAAATCTAAGAATCTTGGGTCCTTGGTGAAACTATAACCGTCCACTTGCAATTTCTAATATAAACTAAGTGGTATATCTGTTCTACTGGGCCGATTTGCATAATTTTTGCGGTTATCGACGGGTGATAGTCCCGTAATGAGCCCGCTTCAATCAGATTTTGAAAATAAGACCCAGTTTTTTTTTATAGAGGAGACAACCAGAAAACTTAGGAAGGGGGGGCAAAATTTATTTAGAACTTATCTTATAGAATTTAGCGGAAAATTGAACGAAGCAGGAATTGAAGACACCGCACCAAGAACAGTCTATAACCGGAAACCGCGTTTTGAGAAAAACGCATTTAAAGTATTGTTTTTGATGTACTGCGCAGAATTTTCTATGCAAGTACCCTGTTTTGGTGTTTTTGGGTGACCTAATCCTTCTATTGAAGGATGCCGGGTAGATTTTGCGATACATTTTGGGTTTATACTCTCATATATTTAATTTAAAAAAACTGTTTATATGCCATTATTACGCCCAACAGTCATTTTGGTGGCAATATGAAGTATAAATCATTTTAATCACTTATGATTAACGCAAAATGAAAGAATATCGATAGTGAGTAAAGGAATGGGTAACTAGCACCTTATAGGCCCGTTTATAGGTCGTTCTTGCACCCATCGACCCAGAGGCCTGACTTAACTCGGAAAGAAAAGGTTTTTCGACCTCGAGCCGTTACCTATCTATATTCTGTCGCTACCACAGCATAGTCCAGGGTACGTAGAATCCGAAAAGCCGATGGGCGTAATAACGACCTATACGCCTATAGGCTGTTCTTGGTGCGGTGTCCTCAATTGTAATCTTCCGTCACATTCTTACGGCGCAATGATACAACTATTTGAACTCTCCGGAATGCGTGAGGTATCACGCCGCATTTGAAGGCGTTTTCAAAATCGCCAAGTTCCGATACCCGGATTATCGTTTTGCATAGTTCATATTCTTTTGTTATATTCCGTACCACTTGTTTATTTTTAATCCTCGTATAAAAACCACCCATTTCCTAAATACAATTCTAGTTGGAGCGCACTTCAGCTATGCATTCACCACTGCAAAAATGTCAAAGGAAATTGACAAACCCAGCGTGTATGGAGGCTATTTCAATTGTAATTTTCCGTCTCATTCTTACGGCGCAATGATACAACTATTTGAACTCTCCCGAATGCGTGAGGTATCACGTCGCATTTGAAGGCGTTTTCAAAACAGCCAAGTTCCGATACCTGGATTATCGTTTTGCAAAGTTCTTATTATTATGTTTTATTTCCTATCGTTTGTTTGTTTTCAATCCTCCTATAAAAACTACTCATTTGCTGAATACACTTCCGGCTGGAGCGCATTTTAGCTATGCATTCACGACTACTAAAATGTCAAAGGAAATCGAATGATTCTTTGGCGGAAAAATTTTTGGTCGAATCTGTTTGAAAATTTCATTGAATTTTATCGGCAGCACAAAGATAATTCAGTGAAATTTTCGAACAGCTTCGTTGGACAATTTCCCTGTAAAAAAAATAAAATGGTGGCGGAATTTTTTAAACGTCGCATGGCGCTTGTGTTACTTTGGCCGGAAGGTGACGTTCAGCTGCTATTTTTGACTCGATTCTAATTCAGACATTCTCAAATTGATTTGCCCTTTTTATCGATAATACCCATACAATTTATCGATTGCATTCGACCATTTGATTTTAAAAATTATTTTACCGTTTTTTTAATTGATCGTGAGTGTTAAAATTAAGGGGCGTAGGGCGCAATCCAAGATGCCGCACAGTGGATCGAGTCAGTAGGAGAGGTCGGACGAAAGTCGGAAACTTTAAACGCTTATAACTCCGTTCATACAAAATTTTGAGGTTCTAAAAGTGGTTTCATTGGTTGCCTCGTATAATTTTGTTCCATGAGCACCCCTGGAAATTTCAATTGCGACGGAATAAACATTAAAATTTGCAGTTTTAGTCACAAATTTTGTGTCCGACCTCTCTAATATTGACCCGATCCACTGTGTGCCGGCGCGGCGCCCCCGATGCTTGGCGCCCCCGGGCGTCGCCCATGTAAGCCACCGCTGAAGCCGGGCCCGCAATGCGCCCTCTTTGGTGATAATCCTAGAACTTCAGTTCAATATAATCCTGCCAACAGCCAGAAGAGGGCGCCAGCTGTTACGGCTGTACAAGCAGAATATTTCAAGGTACTCTGCGCCGGGCGGGCGGGGAGTCGTGACCTCCTTGAGCGTGGGTTTTTGTAACATCGCGATTGCGCGTAAACTTTCGAGTTTCGACCGTCCCAATGTTATTGCGTCAGTGCCGTCAGTGACACAGCGGTCAGTGTAGCACTCACGTTCCCAGCGCGTAGGTGCGCTCGATCTTGCCTTGCGTAGTTGTTAGTCGATACATCCGTGAGTGTTGTGTCCTGCCGGCTCTCCTTCATCCGTGCTTGGTTTTTGGGAGTGAGTATTGAATTCATTAAACTCAGTGACTCACTAGTCCACCGCAATTTCGACGTAATCTTCGAAAAGGGCACACGTGGGGTGCCGCTGTTCGTGCAGAGGCATTTTTTTGTCAAATATTTTTTATCCATGGAATTTTCCGCCCAAGAGTTTTGAGATTAGAGATGCGATTAGCAATTAGGGACACAGAGTTTCCACCGGTCTGGAAAACCGGGAAAAACAAAAGTTCGCGATGATCGCACGGAGCTCTCCGTATCGGCAATTTCAGCCGGTGCCATACGAGAGAGCGCGAACAATTTCAGTGTGACTTTCTCTAATAGTTCGATATCTAGAAATGGAAATATTGTCTGAAGTTCGGCAGAGGAAGGTTTTATTCGGAGCTCTCGGCAAGTCTGAGAATATGACGATTTTGGAGCAGGGGAAAATCACAAAAAGTTACGAAATTAGTAAACCAAGAAATGGTGGAAACCCTGAAACAGGAAGATTGCAAGCATTGCTAGGTGAAGGGTTGAAAGCTAGTGCTGCTGTGCTAACAATAAACGCCGAATGGAGCTTCAGCCGCTCCCATATTTCCTCCAATGAAACACGAATTTAAGTAGAATATCGTGAATACTTTCCTTTAAATTTTCTAACAGTTTTTCCTGCAATTTAAGCTAAAATATCTAATAATTTCAATGAAAAATGTCCATAACTTTCAAAACTACATGTTTTATCGGGGAAAATTTGGCAGCTTTCGAATGCTCATACGACGCGTGTCCGCAGCATGGTAGGGTGGGTCTTAATTTTGTTACAACATCGCAAAGTTTCATCCGACAATTTATTCAGTTCCTCCTAAACGATTCCTTATATACTTTAGATATCTTCGCGGATTTTCTTCGTGATTTGATGGACTTTTTTATGTAAAAAACACCCGTGTGTCGTTTAAAAACTAAGTTATGTCGTGAAACTTTGAAATGTTGCAACGCGAGAAAACCCATCCGGCTCTCTCCCCTTCGTTTCTCCTTCGATTCCCGAGGTAGGCCAAAAAACATCCTCCGCGCAGCAATGGTTATCTATTCCAGAAATATTTAGTTTTGTTATCATCGTATCTTTGCGCCCAGCTAATTTTGTTACACTTTACCTGATATTTGGTCTTAGATATCTGTTTTTCCATCCAAGTTTCTTTGACTAATAAAGAATGACGACTACTATAATTTACTCCTAGAATTTTCTGAAGAAGCGGTCCTGTCCTAGTGTGTACGCAGAAAACTTTACTGATTAATTGGGGAATCAATTAATTTTTACAGGCCTAAAGCATACATTTCATCGAGAGTTCCCCCAAATTGTTGAAGGCATAAGTTAGCGGCAAAAGATGAGTAAAACAAAGTAATTCTTTCAAGTTATAGGAATCTGAAATGACAGAATAACTGCACGCCGATCATCTCGTGGTTTTCACATACACTGGGTAAAATTTTAGTTTGTATCAAATTTATTTCGACTTCATTTAACTGTCGAGATCATCGATCAAAAACTAATTTTTCTATACTCAATGCCTCCATCCCGTGATTCCTTTCCATCGATGCCTGTCGATTCTCACTCATGCCCATAGATTTCTTACATGGTCAAAAACAGTCAAAAATGTTACTTCCAAAGAGTTTCGTATTATTCGATTGTTCTTGTAAATTCAACTCTTTCTGAGGAAACATACAATTTGCAGTCAGAATTTATCATTTCTCCTCACCAGGCACTCCAAAAATTGTCGTATGCCCTGTTATTGTTGATGAAATATCGCACCACTCAAGTTCAAGGGTTTTAATCTTCTGTTCTCACCCGTGGCGTGGCGTACTTTGCGATTTATCGATTGACCTGTCATTTAAACATACCGAAAAGGATCGATAAACGACGAACACCTTAACAATCGATTCTTTACATTAGCTTTAAATGGTGAAATATCGATGATCGATCATTGGTTCTCACTCTTGAAGTGCAAAACACCAGATAGCTCTTGCTATTTACTCGTGTTTTTATCTTGACTATCTCGGTAATCGGCCTAAAGGGAAATTCTTGAAGAATAAGATCGACTCTGTGCGGACTTAGGATGGAAGGAGTAGAGTAGGACGGATTTTAAGGTATTAGGACAGATCGACGGTGTAAGTCCACAACCGCCACGTATCTCGTTTGCCGTGTTTGAAAATCTCCGATCCTCTTTTATTTTCTTAAAGGAGAAAAAATCGACATCATTCCTTGAATTTTTCGCTGAATTTTCTTCGTACAGAGAAGAAAAATTACGGAAGTTTTTCAGAAGTGCCATTGAGTCGTTTTCCCCTGAAAAGTAAAGTATGACAGGAAGTCTGCAACGCCCCAAACTGAGTTACGCGGTTTCAGACTTGCACCCATTGGCTGATCCAGACAATTGGCAACATGGTCTTTTCTCCGTTTAAACCTATGGAAATGTATCGATTTTTGGAGGGGCCATGTGCTCGGACGAGAATCGATTATTTAGCATAGGTTTAAATGGAGGAAATCCGGTGTTGCCAATTTGGATCCGCCTCTGCTTGCACCGTCGAAACGCTGCCAGCCTCCACCCGAAACTTAAACAATGGGAATGAATATAATTAAGGTTTAAGAAACGAGGTCCAGCCTTTCGGAAAATTGCCTCGACCAGCGGCAGAGGCAGATCAAGCAATTTGGCAGTATCGGATTCTCTCCGTTTAAACCTAAGCTAAATAATCGATTCTTGTCGGAACACTTGGCCCCTCCAAGAATCGATACATTTCCATAGGTTTAAATGGAGAAAGGACAATGTTGCCAATTTGCTGGATCCGCCAATGGCCAGCGGCAAAGGTCCACTTTTCCTTGATTTTTAAACGTGATGGAGTTAGACGTAAAACCCCTATAGGTTGAAATAGGAGGATCATGAGATAGAGGAATAAAATAAGTTGTGATTTTGCCATGGCTGGCGCAAAGGACCCTCAAATATTTTAATCACCCATGGATCTTTTGGGAGCAATCCAAATTTTGACAACGACTTACGAGGCAGTCGAAAAAAATGCGGTTAAAGTGTACTAGCACTGTTACCAGTCATAGAAACGATTCACGTCAAGCATCTGTAGCATTACTAATGATGCGACTCATGATTTGCAGAGGAGGATCCAGAAATTTGGCAACAGCAGAGTTCCTCCTTTTAAACCAATGCTAAACAATCGATTCTTGGCGGAGCATCTGGCCCCTCCAAGAATCGATATATTTCCACAGGTTTAAATGAAGAGAAGGCAATGTTACCAATCTGCTGGATCCGCCAATGATGACTTGAAATTCTAACTCAATGTCATTTTAAAGTACCAGGGAACATTCAGCACCGAAAATTGAAAATTTTGTTTCATACCCTCTAAATGGGTCTTTTTAATCAATGTGCAATTAATTAAGTTTCCACCTGAGGGCTCCCTTTGCCTGGCTCAATGACAGATACCACTTTACTACCGATAAAAATGACCTCTGTTTGTGAGCTCTCTAAGGTTAAATCGATTTGTTCTCAAAGGTACTCGGGAATAATGATTCAAGATCGCGGAAGCATTTTATGTAGGATCACTGAATCGTAACAATTTGAAAAGTTCCTGCTACTGTCGCTCCTATTACAATATGCAATTCTGGGGGAAGCGGGTAATTTTTCCCAACCGACCGGCACAGTGTTCCAAAATGTAACCGGAAACCCTCATTAGAATCTCGAAATGTCACTTTTTCATCTGGTCAAGAGGGTGATGCGATGAGTATCTACCATCTTTCGTCAGGATTTTCTTTTTTTTATCCTAGATATTTGTCAGTCTACGGCCGATAGAGAGTTTAAAACGTCTTTTAAATTGTTGCGATATTTTAAGTCAGATTTTACCCACCGGTCTTCCATTTTACATTTCATTTAATTATGTGTTTCGTAAAGTGTTAAATAATTTAATCTTATGCTTCATTCTTCTTCTAAAAAAACTGTACAGCAGAATTTTGTCATTCGTTTCGTATCATGGATAAACTTCAAAGGTTCTTCTATGTATATCGGTCAGTTTCTAAGATTTCCGCGGCGGAGATAAAAGATCTCTTTTACATTTAATAAGTTTGAGAAAATTAATAGGTAGTAGCCTAGGCAATCAATAAGATTTCTCACCAACAACCGTTGAACCCTTTTTGCAATTCAACATCGGTAGCACAAGTTGCCTTGCCACTTTATCTTCGGCACCTTGACCTGCCGCAGTTCGTTTGTGAAATCGATGCGTTTACCGTAGTTATTTAGTCAACAGTTTACTAACTGCGCTCATTATTAATTACTCTTCGCCATCATTTCCAATTAAAAAAATTGTAGGTGCTTAATTTCATGCAAGAGCTAATACCTGCAAAAGCATGTCTCTGATTACAAAGTTGACACTTGACCATGAATCGTGCGAACACCTCAGTCAACTGTCACCTTGCGCTCTGAACTTGTTTTACTTCTACAAATAGATTTTTCCCCGTGGCAGATTTTACTCCCTTCGTATGCGTATATATACGTAATATTTCAGGCCTTCAAAAGTAGAATTTAAATTTTGGCCTCATTTAGAGTTTTTGACTAAAGACGGTAGAACATTTTAAGGACATCATCACAGCTTGCGCAGTGCATTCTCATTTTTGCCGGCAAAATGGCCAGGCAACCGCATGCTAGTTGAAAGCACCGGTGACAGTAAACGCATTTCAAAGTTGTTAAACTAGTCGGTTAAGTTTTTTTTTAGTACAGAACAACTTTTCGTAGACATCGGCGCTGCAGCAGTCAGTGGCACCGCACTGCGTGGGCAAGCTGCAAATGCGAATTTCGCAGCGTGACTAACATGTTGCCAGTCTGAACTTCGACTGATATTGAAAGATGCTCGAAAGCGTGCCTATCGATTAAAACACTAGTTTTTCCCGAAACCTTTATGATAAATGCTCAATAATTGCTAATAAATAGTCAAACTGCAACAATAACCAGTCATTATGCGTTTTTGAATGATTCGTGTTATGGT